GTGTCTATACATGTGCTGGGGGGGGAAGGGGAGGGCCACTGCCTTCCGTGCGGGCAAGGAGACCCCTGCATGGATCTCTGATCCCTGTCACGCCAGGTCATGGGGCGGGGAAGCAGTGCAGAGCAGCAAAAAAGCCTGCTGGTCCCTGCTGCATGACTCGGCTCTGCAGGGAGCAGAGATCCATGCTGGGGTCTCCTTGCCACTGCTGCCTACCTGGTGATGTGGGGCTGTGTTGGGGCGGGCAGCAATGGCAAGGAGACCCTGGCACAGATCTCTGCTCCCTGCAGAGCCAGGCCATGCAGCAGGGATTCCCCAGCCCTCTGATCATTCCCCCAGTTCTTCCCTGGGGGGCGCAGGCCCCTGGATCTGCACATGGGGTTTCAGCAGGCTGGCACTGCAGGCTGGGGCCAACTGCAGTCTTCTTGGTGCTGCCTGCTGAAACCCCCTGCACATATCAGGAGCCTGAACTGGGGAAATGATTAGAGATCTGGGGGAAGTGATCAGAGAGCTGGGGAATCTAACCAGGAGCTAGATGTCAATATCAGAACAGTCCTTCTCCCCATCTTTCCTCTCCCTCTTCTTAGTTTTTGTTTTCCTGCAGGCCGGCTTCAAAACTTCCTAATTCTCCTAAACATTTTGGAAACATTTTGGTGCCTTCTGATTAATTTCAAAGCTTTATCGGAGCCTTCCGTTTTGATTCAGATTTGGTGTTTAGGGCACCGAAATGGCCCAAAATACCTCCAAAATGAAATGGCTGCTGAAATTTCACACAGCCCTATTGGTCTTCTATCAGAAGCATGGACACATTGTCATTAGTGATAGGGTTTAATAAGTGCCCCCCCCCACCAGAATTTTCACTATCAGAACTGCATGTGCCCATCCAAATGCATCATTCTGTCTAACTGTTTGCATCTGTGTGTTTTAGCTGCATCTGTACAGTAGGGCACAATACCTAGAAGGCATGCACACAGCAGCAACATGGGGAGGCAATTCCCTCTCTTTGTCTTATTGGACAAAGAGATGGAAGGAAGGCAGAAGGCAGGGCAGAATGCACCTTATTATTGACTAATTCAGAGTTGCAACAGCTTGCTTTTTCAAATGCTACGAAAGGACTTGAAGGCATCCAAATAGAGTGTTTTAAATACACTAGTTAAAAAAATTTAGGTGTCATGTCTACCTTGTGTTAATATAAAAAATAAGGAAAGAATACTGAAGTATTTCAGTAAGGCAGCTAAGTGCCTGCCTCTGTCTCTGCAAGGACAAAATTAAATTAACCAGCTATAGTTACTAAACCAGGGGTAGGCAATTATTTCAGATGGAGGGCTGCTTAACAAGTTTTGGCGAGCTGTTGGGGGCTGCATAGGTAGCCCTGCCCCTGGTCACCACATTGCGACCAGAAGTTCTGCCCCATAACCCCTGACCTTTGCCACTGGAAGTCCCTCACCTTGTTGTCCCTGCCCCCAAATACTCCTTTTGGGAGTGGGGGTTGCCATCTTAGAACCAGAAAAAACCCAAATAATATACTAGAAGTCAAACACCTACTATAATATATTTTAATTTTATTACAAAAAATATTTGTCATGACTCAAAAATAAAGTGTGTGCATGTATGGTGGGATGTGGGCGTGTGTGTGGGGGGTTGTGGCTGTGTAGCGGGGCATGGGGTATGTTGGGTTGTATGTCTATGTTGATGGGAGTTGTGGGGGCAGGGCGTGCATATGTGGGTTTGAGGGAAGGTGGGGGATGTAGGGACCTCACACACACTCTCTCCATGGTGTGCAGCCCCCACTGCCTGGCAGCAGCAGCAGGCAGGGAGGTCAGGGTGTTCATGCCTGGCAAAGGCACAGCTTCAGCCAGCAATGTGTGGAGGGAAGGAGTGGAGCTGCCCTACCACCGAGGCTTTCCACCATGTGCCTGCAGCTCCAGCACTCGCTGGGGAAGCCCTGTACAGGAGCCTGCTGCCTCCCCCACTCCCTGCTGTGCAGGTCCCCGCATTCTGCTGGGAGTGGAGGGGCCCTTGCCCCTGCTTTCCTGCAGAGTCCAGCACGGGGCTTTCCCCGTGGGAGTGCAGGAGCTGTAGGCACGGAGCCAGTGGGGGCTGCACTCCATTGGGGGGAGTGTATGGGGGATCGCTACATCCCCCAGTTCCCTCACATGCCACACATCCACACCCTGCCCAGCTGAGCTTCGCATTCCTGCTGCCCCTTTGGGTGCAGGCTCCACCATGCTGCATTCCCGCTTCCCCTCAGCTGCAGCTCCACCCCCACCTCCACCTGCCCTGCCACTTCACTACCTGCTGCCCCAAGCAAGCAGTTTCCAGCTGCAGAAGGAGCCCTACCCAGTAGCTGCTAGCCAGACTGGGCCCTTCTGTCCATGAGGGTGGGAGTAAGGCCCAGTAGGGTATGTTGGGGGGGCTGTACACATGAGCGCCTCACTTCTACCTTCATGGGCGGAAGGGCTGGGTGGGATGTAATTTGTTGTGGGGCCCTGCGGACCAGATGAAAATGCCTGGCAGGCCATATCTGGGCCATGGGTCATATTTTGCCCACCCCTGTGCTAAATATATATCACCAGTCCACCAAATATATATTTAACTGTACTGCCCGAAGTTGACTCACTGAAATCAACTGGATTATTAACAGACGTAAAAAGTGTATGTATGTGTAAATCATATTTTAGGGATTGTTATACTACTAACTGGTTACAAATTCAGTTAGAAATAGTAATATGCGGAAGGGCTAAAGTTCTGCTGAGAAGAGCCACTGAGATACCTAAAGCTCCCATTCTCTCAGAGCTGTAGAAGTTATTTGTAATGTGTTAATAAATCAGTGTAACCAGCTTTCTTCAAGTACAGGAAACTCAGGGAGATGTTTAAATCTCTTATGAAACCCCAAGCTCATGTCAGGTTCACTTGTGCATGAGAAACTTTTAGTGAACCTGGGCTTATTTATGAACCTAGCCAAAACTCATCAGTTGCAAATGGCTTTGCCTTTGAGGTTTTTGGTTTGCATAAACCCTAAACTCAAAGGGGACAATCATATGACTCAAAAGCTGACAAAAGCTTTTGTATGAATCTGCTGCTGCCAGCTGAGACAATCAGGTTTCACATAAATCTTGTAAAAATTTTCACCATAGAGATGTTGCCTCAAATTTAAAAAAAATAAGTAAAATATGTTGTTGTTTTTTTTTAAAAAAGAACAGCTCTAAAAACAATCTTTCACTAGTTATGGAACCTAATAAAATTACTGGAACCTAATAAAATTATTTGCTATCCTAGTAGGTCTTTGGTTTAAAAAACACATCTTTCAAATCACAGAGACCAGCAAATATAGGACTTTGAGTCCTGCCTACTTTAACAGACAAGTGTATATCTTTATTTCAAAGTTACTTACTTGTCAATAGTTGCTTTCACTCTGATCTGGTAGTTCAGTTCAGGCAATTTAATTAGCAGCCTGGGAAATTAAAAGTGTGAATGATCAAAACCAGAAACTCTTATAAAGTTATTAGTCACCAAAGGGCTGGTAGTCCCTGACCAAAAGTCTCTAAAAAATCTTATTTTAAAGAAAACAAGACCAAGTATCTAGAGATGCATTAAAATAATTTGAAGGATCCCAAGTTTAGGAAGAGGATATGCATTAGCTCAAGGGACAAACACCATTCCCTCCATTGTAACTGCAAACAATTTGAAAAAAAATAGCAAGGGACTAGTTTATAAATACATTTATCCTTACAGCAACATTGTGGGGAACACTATGACAGCAGATGTGAAGGGTTCATCTACCTCACAAACACAGATGGTTTTGTTCCTTCTATTCCTTCTGCTGTGAGTTCCACTGCCACCTGGTTTTTATTATCAGAGGAGGTAACAAGCTGTAGGGAGCAGACTCTGAGTTGTTAAAAATGCAGGGAGCCTCCAGAAATGTAGCGTGGTATATTGTTAATGTGCTAAAGTACTCCTGAAGCTCGACCTAAGCTTGTGCAGTGTTAATTATTATTTACCTGGTCTACCGTGCCACTAGAGCAATAACTCAATAAAAGAATTCTTAAAACTGTGACTGGGCAGAATTCTGAAGATCTTACTGGACAGAATCTGTTATCTTCTCACTCTCGATACTGCCTTACTCTACATGTTGTCATGGGTAGTACAGTCTAGTACTCTGTAAGATTTTACATAAGAGAACTCTCACTGAAGTCAGTAGGATTTATGTTTGAGTATATTCTCCAGGATTTGATTTGCTTTTTATTAAATTTTGGAACTGTTAATATAACCCTCCTCTACTTACCTTAATTTAACCGTGAACTGTATTAAAGTTTTAAGTACCATTGGCCTCTGGGGGTGGGTTGGCATGCAGGGCTGCTTTTCAACCACAAATGAACTAGTTTGAAAGGAAACAGATAAAATGGTTAGAAACACACAAATGTACAGACCTACTCAAAAAGCCACAGAAAAACACAATGCTTTCATCATGGATGCAGATTTCCCTGTGTGCACTGGAACAGCAAAAGTACATCCAAATTCAGCTCCTAGCTTTCTATTTACTATTTGTGAGTTATTTCTATAAGAAATTGGTTAATGGATTATATTAAGAACAAAGGCATTAAATAGTGCTGAGCTATCCCATTCAGTTAAAATACACAGGAAAATATCTTAACAAAAAATGAAGCAGGGAAATACACTATGAAACTGGCTCCCATAAAAATAAATACAACAATCTTCTTATATTTTTGGCATCATTCAAAAACAAATGGCCAACTTCTGTAAAGAGACCAAGCCAGTCCTAGGTATACGTTAATGGTTCAATCACATGGTACATCCATAACACAGCCAAATCAGTAACAATGAAGTATTTACTTTTATATTACGTAAGAAACAAATACAAGGAATGAGAGATTGTAGGAGGCAGTCCCATGGTCAAGAAGGGGGCACTGAAGAAACTGGCACTCCCTAGTTGCATACCAGGCATTATTATCTGAGGCATGTGGACAAGTCCCATTGAAATCAATAGGAGTTGTGTCTGCATTATCCAAAGCCAGAACTTAACATGTTAAAGCTGAACCAGCGAAGCTGTTGAGCACCCACAGCTCCTTCCAGCTCTAATTAGAATTGGAGATGATCAACCCCTCTGAAAATCAAATTCTAAAATCATTGCAGGTATGCTCCTTTTTGCTCCCTTCATTTTAATTATTCCTGCATTTTAAATAATACACGTTACAATAGTTTACATACTTCCGGAAAAGACTGTAGAGCAAGAAGTTGACTCTTTCCAGCATCTGAGGTCTTTGCAGTGGAATAGGATCCCCATCATAAGTCAGTTTAGTCAGGAGCTCCTCAAGCTTTTCTAGTTGTCTTCTTACTTGAAAAAGACTCTCTGCCAACAGTGTAAAACTATTGTAGAACAAAGATAAGACACATTCCTTAGCATTAGAATCTATTGTGTTATAATAAGCAATTTAAGACCTAGTTAGAGAAATCAGCATCTGTATTGATTGATGTTTATTAGTGTTATTGCGGTAACATGATCTTAGCTGCTATTTACATGGATATATATACCAAATTGCTCCTATTCTGCTTTGCAGATAAGCACATTCTCAAGAAGCATAATTTGCACCAATTTGAGTCTATTTTTGATGTACAAGAAGAAGTATGTATATAACACAATGTTTATAGTCATGCAAACGCTATTTTTTCACCATAGATTAGTGTTCTTGGAAGACATATTCTTTAAGAAAATTACATTTTTATCCCATGGAAGCGTTATGAGGGAAATGAGATGGCCAACCTCAACAACATAAAGAGGATGACTGAAAATTTAACCCAAACACACTTAGCTAACAGTTCACTTTTAACAGGGTTTGTGTGGCTGAAATCCTACATGACCCTTAGAGCAGTACCCTCCCCTCACGTAATTAACTGTATAAGATAATTAATAATTCTCCTGTGCCTCTAAGGGATTTTAGGATTTGTCCTACTGTCATCCATCACAAATTTGCATAGCTCCCTAAAACAGCGTCAGAAAGAGTTGGTTTGAATAAATTGGAAAAAATACTTTAACGAAAAAAAAGAAGCTATTTTGACCAAAATAAAACATGTATTTTTTCTAAACGTTTTCTGAAGAAGGATGAAATTCTTTTTGGTATTCAAGTAACACAGTTGTTCATTTTTAAAGTATTTTTCTCCTCCTTTCTTTTTTCCTTCTATGCCAGAAACTTCCTGGGAAATAAAACATTGTTGGAAAGTAGTGAACACAGCAGCAATGTTCTGTGCCTCAATTATAATTGTCAAACTTAATTTATGTTCCTATTTGTAACCTGCCATGTAGATGTGACACCTTCCTTTTGAAATTTGTGTTGCTGTCAAATATAGGGCATTTTCTCCCAGATAGCTCCTGTTTAGTGCAATGAATGACCTACTGTTTCAAGTCTGGCACTCAGTGAGTCAAAGCATGAAATCTTTACCTAGTTTTTACCCAAATAAAACTCCCACTATTTTAAAGTGACGACCTCAGTAAGCATAGTTCTTACTCAAACAAAACTCCCTTGTGAGACATTTATCTGGGACACTTGTTTGCTTTTGGTTTGACCATCTGCAAAAGTTTCATCTCTATGCAGTATATTGTAGTGATATTAATTCAAAGAGCAAATTATTCTTGTTAGTCGACTGCATTTTAGTTATTTACTTCCTTAGCTGCTAATATAACAGGAGTATGCTCAGCTAACTCATATGACAACATCTCTGATGGGACCCTGTCCTTTATATGTGTGCTGGGCTTCTGTGAAGCAGCAGACTTCCTGTGGTTTTCAATTACATTTTAAATTAACTGCAGGTTTACCAGTTCTGGAGTTGATCAAGCCCACCATGTAGAGGGCCTCCAATGCTGGCAATTTGCTGGCGCCTCTTCCAATCTAAGAGCTCTTCAATTAGCATGTTGTTCATCAAGACGTCAATTTCATCTATTACCTGCACTATTTTACTGAGAACTTCCTAAAAGGAATAGGGAAAGTGTTACAAACTGGCTACGAAGACATATACAAAACTTATAAATTAGTTCAGTTATAACAATTACCATAATATTTAATGTTAGAAAAATATGAAATAGGTTAGTGTGCTATGCAGTATTTTTTCATCCTGTTATTAAGCCTCTATCTTGAAACAGTATGTTCACATTACTAGGAATTTAAATGCATCATGTTCTAAAGCTTATGAATTAATTTTAATTTCTGAGACAGTTGTTGTACTTAGCTCATATTACTTATGATCTTCTTAATCTCTGATTCACCCCTAATGTAAATTAGTCTTGAATATTAACTATGTATTTGTTTACTTGTAATTTTTGTGGAGTGTATTCATTACATGCATAACAACTCCAAGAATCTGATATTTACAGGTAGTGTTAAGATCAAAAGGTCCCTTCTACAACTCTAAATTGTGTCTCATATCATTTTCTTTAACTGTGAATATATCACATAGAAATACATGGAAATGGACAAACTATATTGACCCAAACAAATAACCTCTAATGAAGTGTTTTCCTTATCACCAAAGAAGTTGGTCTGGTCATGTTCACAACAAACAGTTTGCATACAACCAAATTCAGAGATATGATGCTTGGTTTTGTAGTTACAGGATTATGTGTATCTGCTTTCCTGACTGCAAAAGCTGTAACTTGAAAACAAAAAAGGATAAGTCCAGCTCAATGCAAAGAGGCTCCTGTGAGCTGATGGGTTATCCCTTAAGCTCCAACTGGTGTGCACAGGTTTATGCTCTTAATAGAGCTCTTTAAAATTATTAGTTATTAAACTACTTGCCAAATAACACACATGTACCTACTACAACAATCCCTGTATATCTAGAATACAGAATCACTTATACCTGCTTTTTATGAAGTTAAATTTGTGCAAGTGCTTCCATAAATTTGATTATTTAGTGTGGGAAAAGGGGGAAAAAAGCAAATAAACCACAAATGACACGTTACCAACCTTTCTCTTGTAGTCTAAGGTATTGAGCATATCCTGCAACGTCAACATTTCCTGTTTAATGAGGGCACTGTTTTTGTCATTCTGTTCTACAAGGGAAAAGGAAAAAAAAATCATCTGGTAAACTGAATGTAAAATATGTGTGTGGGGGGGGCATGTTTACATATAATGGGAGGGAGGGGGAAAAACTCTGAGCAGATTAAATTCTGCTAGCTACCTTATAATGTTTGTAAAGTTATATAATATAATTTTAGCTGAATGGACTAGGTTTAATATGAATTTAAGGGTAATTATGAAATTTGGGTATTTTTTTATTAGTAGGACAGGAGTGGGAAGACATGTAATATATAGAAATGTACTAGTTTAGTGTGTAAGTATTCTTATTTGGTATACAATTTTGGTTTGGTTAAGTGACTTATTTGCTGTGTACTTTAAAGTGTGCCCCAAGCTTCATTAACAAATAATTTGTATCCCAAGCTTCACTAACAAAACTAAACTTTTTTGGAGACACAAGGCATGTCTACGCCACTTCTGTACTGAGCTCAAGAGCACCTCCAAGATGCATGTTGCCAATATGCTTTCAGTTGCATGTACTAAATCCTAGAAATGAGGCAAAGTAGTTGCTTTAGAGGCCCTAAGTACATACCACTAAATGTACCCTAGAAACAGAGTATAATAGCAGTGCTGGGGGCTGAACTCAACACTGCTCTAAAGAAGCTATATTGCTTTGTTTCCTGGATTTGATACATGTGCCGTGGAAGTGATCAAGCAGGGCCTTCTTGGTGGTCTGCCCCAGCTTGGCAGAGACACGGCACATAAATCCTTAATGTGAAATGCATATTTTCATAGATTTCATAGACATTAGGGCTGGAAGGGACCTCGGAAGATCATAGAGTCCAGCCCCCTGCCCCAGGGGCAGGATGTCAGCAGGGGTCATAGGATCCCAGCAAGATAAACATCCAAATGTCTCTTGAAGGAGTTCAAAGTAGGTGCTTGAACCACCTCCGGCAGCAGTCTATTTTACACCTTGGGGTCTAAGACTGTAAAGAAGTTTTTCCTTATGTCCAGCCTGAAACGGTCCTGAAAGAGTTTGTGACCATTTGACCTTGTCATTCTATGGGGTGCTCTGGTGAACAGACGTTCCCCCAGATCCTGGTGAGCACCCCGATAAACTTATAGGCAGCCACCAGTTCACCCCTGAGCCTGCACTTTTCCAGGCTGAAGAGTCCCATGGTGCTCAGCCTCTCGTCATAAGGTCTGTTTTCCTGACCTCTGATCATGCGCATGGCTCTCCTCCGGACTCTCTCAAGCTTCTTCACATCCTTTTTGAATTGCAGAGCCCAAAACTAGACGCAGTACTCCAGCTGTGTCCTCACCAAGGCCGAGTACAATGGGAGAATGGATAAATGTTTGCCAGCAGTGAATGGATGCAAACAGGTTACGCATTTGAGATGAAGGACTTTCTGATGTTAATCTTCATGGGGATTTTGGAAAAATTTACAGTTCTGAGTATTGGTCATTGTGCAGTGCATTTCCTCCTGTTCACCTACTGGCTTCAAGTCTATCTGGGCTCATTCCCTTTTACCCTGCAGCAAAATCTTTTCTATCACTCTCACACTACTTTAAAGAAGAATTTGGTTTCAGCTGTGTCTGTGCTGACTAAGGCATGGTGCTTCCCATTAAAATCTGTGCTCTCATGCAGTGGAGTTTGAGACGTGCTGGGTGCAATTTCACAAGCAATTAATGTGAAACAATAAACTCCGGAGCTGTTTGAGCCGGAGTACACTACTCCTGGGCGCAGTGTCTACATGTGCTTCTGGGACAGTAGCACTTTGAGCTGGGGTGGAGCTGGCCTGGGCTAGCAGCAAGTTCGGGGGGGAGGGGTGGTTAGTTCTGGGCTCTGGGTGGCATGGTGGGTGGTGGAGGGGCTTGCTAGGGCATAAGGGTGCTGAACATGGAGAGCCGTGTGGCTAGGTGGCAGCAATGAGACTGGCCCCGTCCAGTCACCGTCTACACATGTGTTTTGGTGCAGTTTATTATTCTGCCATAAGATAGTACTGTCCCCCCGTCTTATGGTAGAGTTATTTATTTACTGCCCCCTAATACTGCTGCACGTGTAGACAGCAATGCTTTACTGCAAAGCTAATTAGTTTACTCTGCAGTAAAGAGCACATGTACACACACCCACTGAGTTCCAGTCTTATACAACAGGCATGCCTAAGAACTCGGGGGCTGTAAGACCTTGATTTCTCTGTACTGATGGACCTCAGTTTATCTTTGAAGGAGACAGCTCCATGCAGAAGTTGTTGCTGCCTGGCAGGCTGCAGTTCCTGGAACTATACAGACTGCTCAAGCATGTATGCAAAATGTTTATCAGTTAGTAATTACCCACTAGGTCAAAAAAATGAAACAAAAAAGTCGAGACAGTGGCTAAAAATTGTTTCATATGACTATGTAATAGGGAAACAGTGGAGTCCTTCATATCCCATTCTTTAAGAGGAAGGGCCATGTCAAACATTAAGAAATTATTTAACAAAAAAAAAGTTTTCTAAATTAAAGAGATCATCATTTTCTCAACTTGGTAAAACTGCTGTGCTTAGGGAATATACATCTGAGCAATGAAGACATAATTAACTTACAACTCCAGAAGTGTATTTTATGACACAGATTACAAATTCACATAGGGCATGTCTACACATGCATTTACTCCAGTCTAGATTTACTGTGCAGTAAGTGTTTTTGGGTAGATGTCTACACATGCAGTGATTAAGGAGAAGATTTGCTCCCAGTTTCCTGTAGCCCTGCAATGCGCCCCTACTGCCACGGGGAAGCTACAGGCTCCCCCAGGGTGCTAGCCCAGGGGCTGGCAGGGAGTAGTGGACCAAGAGATAGGTGTCTCCTTGCCCTAGGGGGCTGCCTGCTGCTGGGGCAGGGACAATGTCCCCCTGCCCCGACAGCAGGGAGCTCCTGGCCCTGGTTCCCCAATCAGGGGCACTGGGCTTGGAAAGATCTGCAGGAGAGTGTCTCACTGCTAGCTGCCCCACTGGTGAATCTGGGCAGGGGGCTGGGACCTACCCCTCCCCTGCAGCTCTTCCTAAGCCCCATGTCTCGATTACCTGATTGGAGCATGGGGCTGGGACCTGCCCCTGACTGTGACAGTTCCTGGCCAGCCCCAGAAGCTGGCTGCATGTGCAGCCTGTAGCTGGCTTGAGACTGCCTGAAACAGGACAGTCCCCAGCCACCTCCAGGTTGCACGTGCTTTCCCACATAGTCTGGGACTGGCTGGGACCTGTCTTGGTCAGAAGCAGGTCCCAGCCATCTCCAGGCTGGGTGGGGAACTGTCCCCATGCAGGAAGCTCCCAGCCCCTGCTCCGCAATTACATGTACAATCGCGGAGTTCGGGCTGGGGAACTTGTTCCCTGCGCAGCTCCGTAAGTATGGAGCTGGGAGGGGGAACAGGCTTGGGTAACCTACACTTTCCCATAGAATCTTAACATAAATAATAAAAAGGCTTACCTAGACTTTGTATTGTCTTATATCTGAAATCAAATTCCTCTTGCAGATCTTCTAAGTATTTGACATCTTGTTCTGTCATCTTTTCAATAAATAAATAAATAGGATGTAAGGAAGTATTCACATCTGTCAGGTGCTAATTTATGTTAAAAATAACTAAACTCTAGTGAACTTCTCAGGGTAAATTTAATACTTCCCTTTTCTGTCATTTGAGAATCCCTATGACTAGATAGAACTGTTTATCTACTAGTCACTAACAAAAGGAATGAAAGTGTGTCACCATATCACACATTTATATAAGGGAAGACACACATTTCTTTCAGTTTGTGGCCCAGAAAAGTAAAATATTTTATCCTCTCTCTCACTCTGAAATTCCTATTGATACAATCAGTTCCATCCATCACACTGCTATGGCAAAATTCTCACAAATACCTGGACCTTGTATGTAACTGAACATACAGTTTAGTTTCATGTGTCAGTGCTCCAAATAGTTATTCACATCCATTTAGTTTATCGATTTGTTTGAAAGTATTAACTTACTAAAATTAGTTAAGACTGTTTTTCATTGACCAAAGAACACACATAATTGTTTATTGGCACAACCCCCCACACAGTACTCTGAACAAGCCTTCCTCTACCTCTCCTTTTCATTGAGGCTAGTCCCAATGGTAATTTGCTGCTGTTGATTGTCATTCTTTGAAGGGTGGTTTCACTTCAAAGAATGAAGAGTTACTTTCACTAACTTTATAAATTAAGAATTAAATTTTCACTGTGCATTTGAACACACAATAACCTCTCAAGGAGTATCAGGATTTGCATATGCATATCCAAGAAAAGCATATGTCCTTCCAAGTTAATCCAATAGTGAATCTGCAAGACAAAGCACTTCTACCACTCTGTAGAGACATAAATACAGGGTAATTTCCCTTCTTTAAACAAAGAATTCCAATTTTTATTGATATTTATAACTTTTATTTAGCCTATTTAAACAGTTAAATTTTTCATTGTCCTAAGGCCAAACAGGCGAAGTACTGGTTTGTATAACAGACCCAGCACTTCGGGTACCAGATTATCTCACAATATGATCATACCACACAAAAGGCCTAATACCTCAGCATTTAAGTTAATGGACAATTTTGTGTGACTTCCACAGAACAGTTAAAGTTGTACCTAGGACCAACTTGGTTACACAGGTAGGTAGCCACCAACTTTATTTTTAGATAACGGTATACTGAACTGTGGGCAAAACAGTGAAACAGTTACAGGTTTGGCTTTTTACAGGGTTTCACTTTCAGGCTATAATACTGAAAAGGGTAAGAGGACTCATTAATCATATAATAAAAAGGTGATTTGTGAACAGATTTATCAGACAAAGGGCTATAGACTGTGCCATAGCAAATCTTACATTTTTTTAAAAGTCCTTCTGCATGTCACTAACAAAAAGGAGGCTCTGACTTAACACTTATACAGAACTATCGGCTTGGAGTTCATCAGGGCTAGCTGCATTTTTGGAAAATTAAAAACCCAGTCTCTTAAGTCACAACTTTCTCACAGAAAGCCAAATCCCCTTTTTTTTTAACCTTTTTTAGGGACTAAACCTTTAAAGGACAGGAATAAGGTATATGCACAAGTACATTCACAGGTGGCTATTTTCTATGCACAATTCAAGCGCATCCTATAAAAGTATGGTTCCTTTTAATTGTTCTTGTGCCCCTCCACGCACAAAGGTTGTGGAGCGGCTCTGTAGTTTACCACAGGTCTACGTTCACTCAGTTGGGCTGAGCTAGGGTGACAGGCTGCTGGGCTTCTTTCCCTTGGTTAGAATCTAAAAAAATTCTCTTCCTTGGTGTCTCCCTTTACAATTAAACTAAGAACAACAATGCAAAATCCTTATTCTAAGTTTCCTCTTTAAGCTAAGCTATTTCTAGTATCTGCTTTGTTGAACTTCACATTCTCTGCCCTTACCTTTCCACCTTTTATTGATCCAGCAAAAGATGTCACAAAGAAGCCTTGCCTCTCCTTACTTCCCACTAATAAAAAAACATTTCTGAGTTGATGCCACCAAGATCTACTTCAACTAGATGTGTGACTTAGTCTGCAGAAATAGATGTATAGCTCTGTGCAGAGTCCTAGACCCTGATTCTGTTTCACAGGGGGTGTGTCTACATGAAATGGTTGTTACTATGGCAATGTAGCATCAGTGGGCATGAACAGTGATGCTTACGCTACTGCGCAGTAGCAATGAGCTACTGTGCTGTAGTGTGGGAAAAGGACTGTGCAGCGTCAGGACTGTGCAGTAACCCCAGTTACTGCACCGTCATTTAGTTCTTGCTTAAGCAGGTAACAACTGCACAGTCTAGCGCATGTGTAGACGTGGCTAGGGAGTGACTATGTCTACACTGCCATCATTGCTGCGATGCCAGCTTGTATATGGGTTTCCCTCTGTGGCCAACCACGGTTTTGAGTATCCACGCTTAATATTCTATATTCTATACCATTTTGGCTACCACAGTATACAGTTTTGAGTAACCACTGTTTTCCATGGCCGTGCGTCAGCCTGCCACCTGCCATTTTTCCCGTACGCCTTTTGTCTTGCCAACCATGGTTTTGCCAACCATGGGAACTTTCAGGAACCTAACCCCAGTGGTTGGCGAGGGCAACCTGTATACAGGCTGAAATACCTAGCTCTAGGATTGCTAGAAGCATGGCCATAGCAGCACAGATTACAGTGCCAACTACACGTTTAGGCAGTTAACCTGAAGTGAAGCCAGCTCAGGTGTGTCTGCACAAGATGTAGTGACTGCTGTGTAGACTTACTCTGTAACATGCAACATACCTGGGCACTGTTCTTAATGGCTGATGCTTTGTGTTCCACATTTCTTTGTCTTTCTGAAACTACAGAGTTCTGTAGTGACTTTTCCAGTGGCCCCTAGAAAATATTTAATATACAGCATGTTAGATCTTTTTAAATGTATGAAAACAGCAATTCCATTTCCCCTCACATAAAATACTAGAGCTGTCCACCATTTGGGTGGTGGCTGCATGATCCATCGGCTGCAAACCCCTGGGCTACATAATACATGGGCTGCACATGTTGGGGGCAGCCAGCTCTTCACTTCACTGTGTGCAGCCTGGCTCTACTCCTGGCTACATGTAGAGCCCAGATCTGCTTCTGCCCATGTGTGCAGCCTGGCCAGGCCCACTCCACTGTCGGCCATTCATGCTGCCCAGCTACACATGCTGCCCAGCTCTAGTACCCCACCTGTGTACAGAGCATAGGCAGCACAGACCCTTCCTTGGTCCTTCCACTGCACCACCCTTACTCCCAGGAGTGCGGCAGGAAGCAGAAGGTGGAAGAGAGGGGGAACCCAGAGTCTCTGGCCACAGAGCAGCTAGAGCAATGGAGGGAGTGGCGGCCAAATGGGAGCCCGTGAGCCACCTGTTAACTCCTCGTGGGACGCATGCAGCTTTCAGACCACCAGTTGGACAGTTCTGTCCCAGACAACTAGCTTCACCAAAATTTCTAGCACAAAAGTGGAATTTGGAGTCAGGTCTTTAGCTGCTGTATAGCAGTACAAGTTTCACAGACTTATAAGCAATACATGCTAGATTTTGAGATCAGAAAGCTAAAAGGACATGATCAGTACTGGCAACATTTCAAAATAGAAAAGAATGTTTAAAAACAACAAAATCCAATCTGAAAAATATATTCTTGTTATATTGCTGAAAAATGGTGTTATTGACTTAATAATGTAGTAAGTATATAAATCATGTATACAAGCTGTTACTAAAAATGCAGTACTGTATATACAACTTATTTATAGAACAGATTCACCTTAAAAAACACACCTTCTACCAGTACAATTTTTCTAACATACATATTCAATATTGTATTTAACTGAATCCAAGACAACCTTGAATATAAGACAATCCGCCATAATCAGATTTTATTTATTTATACGTGTGTGTGTGTGTGCGTGTGTGTGTGTGTGTGTATAGCAGTGGCAGGGAGGCAGGTGGTGGAAGAGGAGGTGGTGGGAGTGGCAAGTGGGGGGGGGCACACGGTAGGGGAGACAGTGGGAGGGCAGACTTCTAACCATCACTCAGGCTCTGGCCTCACTCCAGCCCAGGGCATGAATCACATACTTGCAGCCCCAGCCTGGCCAGGCAGCAGCAGCAGCAGCAGCAGCAGCATAATAGTATCACCACCACCGCTACTGGGCTGGGCTGGGCTGGGGCAGCCGATATATATTTATATATATGTGTGTGCGCCTTATCCCAGAGTAGGCCTGGAGTCTGTTGAAGCCAGAGCCAGGACAAGCAGTAGCAATGGTTGAGGGGCCAGGCAGGGGCTCAGAGGCTGGAGGCGGGAGAGGCAGGCTGGGGCAGGAGGAGGAAGACCTGGAGCCACAGCAGCTGCCTGCTCCCCCATCTTCTCATACTCAAATCTTATGAGGGGCTTCCGCCCATTTTTAATGGTTGGTGGGTAGACCCTCATCTTGGATTCAGGTCCATACACTAGTTAGAGATTTTTCTCATTTAAAAAAAAAACCATTAACAAGTGTAGCATGGTATATCATGTTTATATTTTATTTTTAACAATGGGACTTGTTTTAATCATTTCAAAAGGACTGCTTTCCCTGAAAGATCATTCGTATAGTTTCTAAAGATTAGCTGTAACATAGTTTGTAAAGATTAGCTGTAACACTTAAACATTACAGACTCAGGTCTTGCAAACAAATGTGCTTAATTTTAAGCACAAGTGCACAAGTGTTTGGGGATTGGGACCAACAGGCTAAATATTGCCTTCAGATATATTCACTGATGGTTTCATCATGTAAGGACAGACATGGCTCAAACAGATTAATGAAATACAGTATGTTACCTGTACAGGCATGCTTGCTGCAGCTAGTATTCGTCTTTCTTCTCGTAAGCAGTTTGAGATAATAACGGCTATGTGCATAGGATTACCATGGTATTTCCCCTGAAAACAAAAGTAAATACTACTATAATAATTAAAAGAAATTACAGTAATACAGAAATTATGTATATCATAAATCAATTGAGAAAATATTTGTGTTACTTGAGAAGATTCTGTAACATTTCCAACTATTGCAAACACTGGCTCAACTATGGAATAGTGTTATTATTTTGGGAACCATCATGTTGATCTGTGTACCTAGAACAGCATTTCTCAGCCCATAGGTTGCAACCCAAAAGTGGGTAGCAGGACTATATAAAAGGGTTGTGAAAAATCATGGAAAAATAGGGAAAATCATGGATTTTTTCCTTGATTTCCTTTAAAGGAGAAAAACGAGGGAAATCACGGGTTTCCCTTTGTAAGCTGGCAGAATTCCAGTCTGCAAGGGGCTGCTTGGGGTTGGGGAAGCAGGAGGAGGGTGATCAGGGAGGGGCGCCATGTGCATATATACATGCATGTGACAGCCAGGCAACATGGAAAGCAGCTCCCACAGCTCCCTGCAGGTAAGTCTATGGGGCAGGGGGAGGGGCATAGATGACTCATCAGGGGGGCACGTGCACAAGGAGTAATGGATGGGGTGGGAAGCAGGGCACACTGCCCTCACCTCCCACAGCTACCACTCCCCTCAGGCTGCGGCTGTACCTCAGAAGGGACGTGGGGTGGCAAGCAGGGCAGATGACCCGAGGGGAGCAGCAGCAGCCAGGCCATGGCAGCAGACTAGAGCTGCGGCCCAACACACAAGCGTCCAGTGGTGGGAGAAGGTCAGGGCAGCATGGCCCCACCATCCATTACTCCTCATGCTGCTGGCAGCACAGCTGCCATGGTGGTCCTGGTGGTGGCAGTGGCAACAGCAAGTCTCAACACCTCGATCCGGTTCCTGTCTGCTGGGCTGTGGAGGTGGCTCCTGCCCATGTTGGTCCAGCCAGGCTGTAGACTCATGCCCACTGTGGGAACGCACCCCTCCCTGCCTCCACTCTGCCCCACACACTGCGGGGCTGGGACCTGGGGGTGGGAGGCAGTGGGTCAGAGTGAGGGGCACCAGCAGGGCTAGGGGACTGCAAGTCATGATTCAGGGGCACCAGTAGAGCTAGGAGGCTCCAAGTCAGGAGTCGGGGCACCAGCAATTTGCGTTGTGCAAACTATACAATGATGAATGTCACTTTGGAGTAATAGAGGGCCACAGGTTGATATTGCTGTTAATGTTTTCCTTTTGATGTTGATTTCTGTCTTTAAAATTAAGACTGTTGAGCTCCTTTAACTTGTAGTGTGGGGCCAAAATACTTGTGCGTTTTCTATTTAAACTATTTACTGGGTCAGGATTTGCCATCAATGTTTACAAATGGGTCCTGGTACGAAAGAAGTTGAGAACCACTCAGCTAAAAGGTTGAGAATCACCATTTCCAGAAATATCATCTGGATTTGTTTTGAATATGGCTAAATGGTACTGTAGGCATATCACAATGTAGTGCTGTGTGGTGATACTTAAGCCACTTCTAAATGAAGTAGCTCTGGTAATAGAAGAAGTACAGATCCATTAATGTTGAGTTCTGCTTCTCAACAGGGCTATTTAGCCCAGATAGAGAGCTGTACTAATGTGGTTATACTGCTGCCTTCATTTTGCTAGGTAGACCTACCCAATGTGAAAACAGTGCTGTCACCCAGTGAGTTGTATGCACAAAGTCTCCCAATGATACTAATGCTAATTCCACTGAAAAGATGTTAATGGTAGTGGAAATTATTTTTTTAAATGCTTATACTGTGAAGTATGCCACTAATGCCACTGCAGGTCTTCTTGAAAAGACTTGCTTAAACTTCATGCTCAGTCTTCATTCATATGGTTTATACCGTATTTACTTGAATATAAGACAAGCCTGATTATAAGATGTCCCCCCAATAATTAGATTCTATATATGGAAAATGTATACATTTGTTATAGTTCTCCAGGCATACAATCTCATTATTGGAGGTTTGTCTTGAATTTATCAACCTCCTACTGCTACAGCAGGGAAAATAAATTTGGGGGGTCACATAGCCCCTTTGCCCTTCACCCCTCCCTTATTCCCTCTGCAGCCCCTTTCCCCCTTCTTATTGTCAGACCATGGTCTCCCTGAACACACAGAAATTAGGAACATACTTGAAAAAAATGACTTTGAAATAAACATAGCTGTAGCAATTTGCATATAACTACCCATAGACTTAGTCTACCCAGAAATGATGCATTTTACTTTTTTTTGAAAGTGCTGCTAGTTTTAGCACAAGTACTCTATAACCACATGTTTAAGTAGCACTTTGGGACTTATTTATTTATAGTGCAAGCTATGCATTATATTAGTCCAAAGCCAAAAGGCTCAGGATTTACCATATAGTTCATTGGGCTGGGTCCCAGCAGATTCAACAGCATTTCAAGCCATGGTGACCCTGCAGTTCAGCAATGCTCAAGTATGTATATATACTCCAAATACGCCACAAAGGATTCATGTGCTAATTGACCCCCCCACTCATGACAGGAACCAGGTGTTCTTTTCATGAACCCTTGGATCCTCGAAAAGCTTATACGCAGATGAGGTGCAGAGCAGCTTGGTCCAGCTTTATCTCATGGAGGGCAGGGCCACAATCATATGTGAAAAGCTAAGAGGGGAGGAGGTGAGAGAGGGATTCTATGTGAACTCTTTGGGGCCCTGTTTGGTGATGTCTGCCAGCCATTAAAGGCTGGTGAAGAAATGGGAATAATTGGAATATAGGAAAGAAAGGCACAGCTCAGCTGTGGGAGTGAAGAGGAAGTAAAAATGTATACAATGCAGTGGCTCACCATGACTTGAAAAGAGTTGTTGCTGAGGGGGACTGTGCAAAAGTGGCACTATCACACGTTTTGTTCAGATGGACTGTACTAAAATAGCCTTGGCAGGGGAACTACCCTAACCAAGATAATACAATTAAAATGTCACCATGTAGTGGTGGGTTGCACCCTTGTCTGCTTGCAGAGAGGAATCCCTACGAGAGCCTCATCGTTAGCTTCCGCTAGCCAGCTTACACTGCAGGGATCTTGGCTACATGCTACCTTTGTGGAAATGGGAGACTCCTCCTTAGCTTGCTCCTGCAGTCATATGGCTGAGGGCAAGTGAAACTCAGAGGCATGCAAACCCTAAGTCTCTGGGCTTGGGCCTGCACATAAGATGCCTGCCAAAGGATTTGGAAGCATCTGAAGCCCCAGGCAGGGGTGGAAGATGCTTGCCAGTAGTATGCCCACATATGGTTCTTGAATGACTCATGGATTCGGAATTGATTTGGCTGATTTGACTTGGGACACGAAAAATTTTCCTTAAAAAAATAAAGGCAGGGGGAAGGGGGAGGAGGAGATAACATGATCTGGTTTCAGCCCTGGTGGTTTTACATACCTGGGAAGAGATATCCCCTTTTTCCTGGCTTAGAAAGACTTGGGCTAGGGACAGACATTAAAAAAGCCCGAGCCTGAATTGATTTAATCTTTGTAGGTTAGTCTAACGTACCTAGGTTGAACCAGTTTGCAACTGTACAGACATTCCCTCTGGACTCAAGAAATGCAGGCACATGCCTGCAGTGGCTCAGGCTAGAAGCCAGGGGGCACAAGAGCAACCTGACCTTCCCTTCTACAGTGCTGAGGTGGGGGGTGTGACCAGGCCTCGGCTGGACCTCTGATTAGGGAAAGGAGTAAACCCCCACTGTGCCTACACCGTCACATGCTTTTCGCTGCTCAGGGGACAGGAGTGTTGCCAGCCCCCAGCCAGCATTCTGAGGCAAGGGGGTGTGTGCAGTGCATGCATCTGTTGATGAGACTGAACTTTTCAATCTCCCTCCCCCTGCTTCTTCTTACTGTCTGCAAACCTGACAGGTGAGGGAGCCACCAGGGGGCTGATAACACAGCGTTTACTAGCCCATCAGCAAAACAAAAGCCTCTCTCATTAGTTCAAGGTCTTCTTACACAGCTTTTTCCAAGGAAGGAATGGTGGAACATTACCAGATGACCTGTTGATTAGCTCCAAAAAGCCCTAAGCAGACACTGTTCTGTTTGCCTGTCCCAGTGAAATTGGAAACACGCAGACACCTCTCAGCATTAGCTAGCATACCACATGCCTAGGTTGTGTGGGACTGGGGTCCATGCTGTGGGAGATGGGAGGGAGGGGGGAATCCCTGCTTGAGCAACAAGCAGCGAGTGGGGGTTGGGACCTTGGAAGCAAAGCAGACCCTGCTGTGCCTGCAGTCTCTGCCAGAGCTCTGGCTAGGGAGCAGAGTGTTGGGGCCAGCCCTGTTCTCTGGAGCAGACAGCACAGCCCAGGGCTCCAAAGCATCTGGGATGCTTGAGGACTTTGGTTTTACTTAAACCAGGAAGGGGTTTGGAACAGACATTGCATAAACTGGTTTGACCCAAATCAGTTAAATCTGATACTACTTTCAACTAGGTTTATCTCAAACTGGTTTCAGCAATTGTCAAACTGGTTTATGTGCACCGAACATCTGTTCTGTTACAGGTTTAAACTAGTTTCTGATCATTTAAACCAGTTTATGTGTAATGGCTGTCCCTAGCCTCGGTGTAGTTGAGGGTGGAGACCTATCCATTGCTCCTTTGGCTGGGGCAAGTGAGACTAGGGGGCATCTGAACCCCACGGCCTCCGAGTTGGGGGTTGCACATAGGATGCCTGCCATGGATTTGGGAATATATGAAACCCTTGGCTGAAGAGTCTGGGAGGTAGAATATTTGTTAGTGGTAGTGCCACGCAGACATGAATGATTGAGC